GTTCCAGTGGGAAAATGGGGAACGACCCCCAAGCAATACACTTTTCCTAACAGGGGAGAATTCTTGAGAAATTCCCTTTAGGTTGTTCACCACAGATCCCAGCCTAAACAGGCAGCAGCCCAGCGACCCTACTCAGGTTCTCATTGAGAAGGTTGCAGAACAACCCATCCGTCTCCTGCAGGAAAGAAAGACCTTTCTCCATCCGGAGAGAATGCCACTGTGACGGATATATACACCACTGAGGCCACAGCCCGTGACCGTTTGCACCTCCTTCCACAATCCTGAAGTGTGCCTTTATTCTTGGGTCCATTCTGGCCCCCACCTCACTTCAGTCCAACGAGACTTCACAGGGGTTTTCGTGAGCTTGGCGGGCATCCTCGTATATGTGGCGGAAGTCTTTATATCGGGGGGCGCAGCTCAGCCAAGCTTCCCCAAAGTGCAACCATCCAGTAAACAGGAAACTGCCAGGCCCTGGCTTCACCCCGCACCGGAGCAGGGTACGAATGCTGCCTGCCGATTTCCCATACTTGCCGACGGGCTGGAACAAGGCAAATTTCTGGCGATGGATCCGGGTGGCGCTCACACTGATGATCGATTCCTGCAGCTCCACATCGTTGGAGACGGTCCGGATATTACCACGGATGACTGCAAGGAAGGAATACGCAGGGAGGGCAGAGAATGAAAATACCTGTTTATTTAAAGTACTTTTTTTTATTATTCCATGATACTGCCCATGATCACTAAGCATGGAACTTTCTTTTGGATGGCTAGTCCCCCAGGCTCCCCACAAATTCCCCCAGACAGAATCCTAGCAACTGCAGTCGGAAAAACAGAAGTTGGAAAAGGAACTTTTCTCATGTCCATAGGAGAAAACCATTGCCATTGTATCAGTTTTTCAAAAAAGAAGGAAAATGCTCCCAATGGTGCCTAGGAAGTGACGCAAGGGTTCCTGAGAATCTCAAAGAAGCACAGGATTCGTAGTCTCACTGCCTATTGGGTTCAATAGAGGGAGCCTCTCAAAGCACTATCTGTCCCATACTCCCCCTGAGACTCCCATGTATTCACATACCACTCCCAAGCATCACCTGGAGCCATTTCCTTCTTCCTGAAAAGCCAATATAATGGCAACAGCAGACTTCATGGAGGTGAGAAAAATAAAAAAAAATAATCATGTCAAGTCAATTCTGATTGATGGACACCCTTTCTACGTAGAGAATACACAGAAGTAGTTTACCATTCTCTTCTGCTGGGGGCATCTGGGGACTGGAGCTTGCCCAAAGCCACACAACCTGGCTCTGCTCTCAGGAGGCACAGTGGGGAACTGAACTCCCAACCTCTGGATATCTAAATCACTGAGCCATGCAGCCAGTGTGAAAAACTCCTCCTTAAACTACTGTTTCCGGGTTGGAGCTCCCTAGATTCTGCTTGGAGGAATTCCTGGCAAATTCCAGGAATAGCAGTCCAAAAGAAATGAAAGTCCCATGGCTAAAGATTCCCTGCCAATTAAAACCAAGACAGTGTCAAGTAATATTATCAAAGAGCACAACAGTAAATCAGATCTGAAGGCCCAACAGCTTAAAGATTAACAGTGAAATAAGAAAGAATTTTGTTTGTTTTTTAATTGGCCACATTTCTATTCGATTTGCACAGTGGTTACCCAGAATTGCGTAACTGATGCATACAATTGTTTTAGCTGCCTGTTGCACACGTGGGCACACGACAAGCAGGCAGAACATTGGAAAGATTATTTGAGCAACTTTCCTCAATCGGTGTGGCATTTCACAACAGTATTCTGGCTCTTATCGGAAGATATGATACCGACATGGACTGCCCAAAGGACAGATTAACCAGACATACTGGGGGAGGTCTACAACACTTCCCAAAAAACCTGAATGCTCTTGCAACCCCACCCCCCAGCATCATCTTGTTTTAAGTGGTAGTATAGTATGAGGATTTGTCTCCACGACACAGTCCAAGCCCTTTGATACCAGTTTAATGACCATGGTTCCATTCCTGCATAATCTTGATTTGTAGATCTAATCTAATCTAAGAACTATAACGCTGGAAAGCACCCTATATAAATCATCCAGCCCATCAAGGAGGTACATTGGGGGATTGAACTCCCAACTTCTGGCTCCAAAGCCAGATGCCTAACCCAGTGAGCTATCCAGCAGCTCCACTAGTAAACTGTACATCACTCCCCCGACTACAGCATTAGAGTGCTCTAGCAGTGAACACTAGTACCTCACCATACCACAAATTCCAGAATTTTCTAGAATGGAGAGATGGCAAATGATGTGGTGTCTAGCTGTTATACCTGGGAATAGGAAATCTATGCCAAGTTTATTTTAAGGATAACTGTACCGTGACATTCTCTCCTTTCTGAGATGGGAGAGTATCAGGTGCCTTCCATATTGCCCATAAACAGCTAGCGGCACAACAGACCATCTGGTTATCATTTCCCCTGCTATAGTGAAAGTATTATATTTCTATTTAAATTACAGTAATTGTTCATTAAAAAAACTTCTGATGCGTCTCAGTGTCTTAGAACAGTAAAAATGGACACTCCCTACCCCGTTGTGTTTTTTAAAATTAAAGACATATTTGCAGAATGACAGGGCTATATGGAAGCAGTCTTCCCATCACCAAACTTTGAAAACAAATATTCTCCAAGACTCTGGTCGTAAAAGCATCACTTGGTTAGTGCTCTTTTTTTTTCCATGGTTAACCTTGGTTACCTAGTGCCCTTGATATTAATGAAAAGGTGAACTCCTGCCTCCCACAATCCCTGGAGCAGTTTTGCAATTATTGTTAAAATAAGATGAAAAACGGAAGTACAAACAAATGAATACCTATAAAGCCTAAAATATCTATTATTTTGCCCCGTGTTTGCTAGCAAAATAGTAGGTTTCCAAAAAAACGGAATCCTTTGACTTCACCCTTCAACTGTTAGATAGCTCAGTGGTTTGTTAAGGAGCCGGAAATTGGGAGTTTGATTGTTCCTCTTTGACTTGGTGATCCATAGGGTCCCTTCCAGTTCTAAAATTATTATCATTATTAATAGCAGCATACAAGCTGCTATAAACCATCTTTTCCCCACATTATGTCTTTAGATAGATATTCTTGGTCTACCATTCTCAACACCTGAAGAAATTCAGTATACAGGGCCAAAAATGAAGCAGGTGGAAGAACTGAAAACAAATAGGAGCATAGATGCCAGAGCAGCTACAGTAAGACACTGCGGTAGTATGGGATAAAATTAACCCATGTTTTACAGAAATGCCAGTTCATGATTCAATCAAATCTGGACGGGATTGTTCTAATGCAATGTACTTCCAAACCTTTGCTATGATTTTGAAAGAAAGCAAATGTAGTTCACTGTTCTGTATTTATGTTTTGTTGATTCTTGTATTTTTTTTAAACTGGTTACATTTGTTTTAATGGAAGACACTCTGGGAAACATTGTAGCTGAGAAGCAGGGTGGAAAGATCTAAAATAAAATAATGTGTTTTATTTCAAACATGGGGAAGTCTTCCAAAAATATCTGTCACCTACAATTAGTTCAAAATAGAGAAGCCAGGTTGCTGTCATCTATTCATGCATGGTGCCAATTGTATTCCTTCTTTTTCAGCTGCTCAATTGTTTCAAGAATCTATTCAATCTCCTGGAAAAGACTTTTTTAAAGCCCTAAAGGGTCAATGCTAGGACACCATAAGGTTAAGATTTATCCAAAGCCTGGAAGAACTGCTTGTTGGCCTAGAAATCCCAGAATTCCATAGCCGTCATGGCCACTCCTAGTCCAAAAAGTAGCATTTCCAAGCTTCAAAGATTAATATCCAACTCTTTACCCCTTTGCCACCAGCGGCTCAGGAGCAGGCATTACATTTGGGGGCTTTTCTTTTACAGCGTCTAAATTACAAAATTCCCTTGTGATTGATGTCGCTCACCAAGATACTTTATTCCTTGGCTTCTGGCAATTGGCGAGAAACAACGCACATGCACACACAACATTTTGCCAAGTCTTTAATGCCATGTCAAGTAAGAATCTGCAGTTTTCTCGCCTTCTGGGTATATGTTGGCGTTAGGAATGAGATTTCCTGAGTTTTTGAACTAGAGATCCCATAATTCTCCACTCTGGAAATTCTGCCTGGGATGCAGACAGTTTATAGGCACCTAATGCGGTTCACCTGTGAGAAAGGTTTCAACTGTAAGGCTTTGAGACCTAGCTAGGTCTAGCTTGATCCACACTTCCTCTGTTCTTGCGCTGGCGGTAGTTGGGAGCTTTCTTTCCGAACAGGAAGATAGAGGGGAGCTAGGCATAGCTAGAGGGACGTGGTGGCGCTGTGGGCTAAATCGCAGAAGCCTGTGCTGCAGGGTCAGAAAACCAAGCAGTCATAAGATCGAATCCACGTGACGGAGTGAGCGCCCGTCGCTTGTCCCAGTTCCCGCCAACCTAGCGGTTCGAAAGCATGCAAAAGCGAGTAGATAAATAGGGACCACCTCGGTGGGAAGGTCACAGCGTTCCGTGTCTAAGTCGCACTGGCCATGTGACCACGGAAAGATTGTCTTCGGACAAACGCTGGCTCTATGGCTTGGAAACGGGGATGAGGACCGCCCCCTAGAGTCGAACACGACTGGACAAAAATTGTCAAGGGGAACCTTTACCTTTACCTAGCTAAGCCTCTGTAAACTGTTTATCAAGTAGAACTCCCAGAATGGAGAATTAAGGGATTTATTATCCAAAAAATAAAAAAATAAAAAACACCACATTCCTAGTTGTTAATGTTAGGATGTTTTTTATTTTATTTTACTTCTTCTTTTTTTTTTAAAAAAATGCTATCTATGTTGGAGATGCCTAGACTGAAAAATTCTCAACGGAAAGAACTCTATAGTGATGCTGGACTGACCCCATAGCAGTAGACATAGCTGGTTGGATCTAGCCAATTATATGGAGGAATTTGCCCTGGTAGCCTGCCTTTGGCTCTCTCCAGAATCAGCAAGAATTATCCCCTCCGAGATATTCTGACAAGCCCGTGATCTGATCTGCCGTGGCAAATCCCTTTGTTCTTGGGTTTGACTTCCTTGTTGCTGCGGCAACCCCCGGACTGGGCAGCCAGCGGACACCCCCCCTCCTCCCTGACCCCTTTCTCCCATTGTTTAGAGAGCTGCAAATCTGGAGGTTAGCAGAGCGTGCCAGGCAATAATTGGCAACTGCCCACTGTGCGGACAGCCCTGAGTGCGCTGACATTTAGAAAGGAAAAAAAGAAAGGCTACATAATCACAGCTGGCGAACCAAGCGCTCTGTGGGCAGCCCTTATGGCTGGTGCCTCCGCTTGGCCCAGCCAGCAACAACCGGTTAGCAACTTAAACAACAGGAAGGGGAGACTAGAGACCCAAAGGGGTAGGTTCCCACTTTTTTTTTACCAACCCAGATGCTATTAGGAACGATTTCTAGGCCCTATTTCAGTTTTTTTTAAAGAAGCAGCTTTCAGATGAAATTATTTTGATTCTAGTTACAGTGGTGCCTCGCTTAACGATGATAATCCGTTCCAGGAAAATCGCCGTTAAGCGAAAACATCGTAAAGCGAAATTTAAAAACCCATTGAAACGCAATAAAACCTGGTTAATGCATTCCAATGGGCTAACAACTCACCGTCCAGCGAAGATCCTCCATACAGCGGCCATTTTCGCTGGCTGTATAGCGAGGAATCCGTCCCTAAGCACAGCAGGGAGCCATTTTAAGCACCCGGCGGCCATTCTGAAAACCCGACGATCAGCTGTTTTTGATCGTCGTAAAGTGAAAATCGGTTCCCGAAGCAGGGAACCGATCATCGCTAAGCGAAATTCCCCCATTTAGACCATAGTTTTGCGATCGCAATTGTGATCGCAAAAAGATTGTCATAAAGCGGATTCGTCGTAATGCAGGGCAATCGTTAAGCGAGGCACCACTGTACCTGGATGGCCAGCTCAAACATGGACTGGGGCTCTGATAGCAATTTGGCAAAATGCAATTTTCCATCCAGTTTTCCTGAATTTGTGAAGGAGGGACACCCTGGCCTGAATCTGTTGGGCAGTCTCAAGGAGATATGGAGTAGAAAAGGTCCAGCATGGGCCCAGATTGGGCGGCTCAGCCTGGAGCACAACGCCCTGTATGTTGTGTGATCACTGGGAAATACACTGCACCAGACTGGTCCGTAAGAATGATCGAATGCCATCAATCAGGGTTTCCCAAGTAGAAAATACTCAAAAGTGGTTTTCCATTCTCTTCTTCTTGGGGTGCCCTGGGACTGTGCAGTTTCCCCAAGGCCACACAGGCCGGCTCTACTTCTAGGATGAACTCCAACCACTGAGATATCCAGCCAGTGGACTGCTCCATAAACAGTCTAAATTGTCATCTGTTTGGAGTCTTGACGTCATCTATTTTTCAGTTAACCTAGCCAGCTTATAATGCTCAAAAGGAGAGTGTAAAACCAGGTTGCTGATAATGTACTCACCAAAATCACTAGTGCAAACAGCCATCAGAATTTCAGTGTTGTTACATGGACGGCAACTCCCTGCATCTTTCAGAGAAAAAGAAAAAGTCACTCAGCCAGGCACCCAGTGAATCTTCAACCTGACAATGCCCGAAGCAAATAATTTTCAGATAAATATCGCACCAGCAACTTTCTATATCTCAAGCCCAGGTCTAATAACTCTAATAATGGAGCCTTGAAACTGCCCATCGTCCATTAAAACCTGGACATGAGATGGCTCAGTGATGTGATTGTTATGGATTTCAATTAAAACGATAATTTAAATTACAATCTGAAAACAAGGGGGTGTGGTAGCTTTAAAATCCCACAAACAGACAAGCTTTTGAGTCCTACAGGACCCCTTATCAGCCCTTGGCATTCCAGAGCAATGGGAGCTGCAGGAAAAAAACAGAAATGTCCCAGAAATCATCATGGCCAGAGGTATAGTCCGGACACGAGAGATGGGCACAAACCAGGTTGCCCACTCAGGCAAGGAGGCAGGACAGCCAAGCCCATGCTCCTGCCAGGGGCTGGTTGAACAGCCAAGGAGGAAAGTAGCATGCTCCGACTGGTGAGTGGGTCACGGGCTGGGGAGGCTCCTGGGTTATAAGATCTGTGTCCATCTCTTAAGTTGCTACAGGCAGGACAGCCAAGCCCATGCTCCTGCCGGGGGCTGGTTGAACAGCCGAGGAGGAGAGTAGCATGCTCCGACTGGTGAGTGGATCATTGGCTGGGGAGTGCTCCTGGGTTATATGATCTGTGTCCATCTCTAAAATTTGCATCCATTTCTACCAGGTACTTTGGTTTAAACCAAGTTTCAAAATGGCATCTGCAGCCTTACAGAGAAAGCTTGAAGGAGGAGGTTTCCGGCTACTCCTCAGACAATGTGCATTTCGTTGTCCCTCCTCATCTTAGCAGCCTCCCGGCACTCTTCCCTTTCCTTTACTACTGCACAGCTTGATGAAGAGTCCTGCATGACTCAAAAAGTGGCCCGTCGGTGAGATTTCAGTACTCTTGTGTTTGGACTGTGTGCAAGGACCAAATGTGTTTTCTTTCTTTCTTTTGTTGGACTGTATAAATTATAGTAATTGATTCTACATTTGCACCCATACCTACACATTTCTGAAAAATGGTGCAGAAGAATATGGAATATATAAAGAATATGCAAAGTTGATGCACAGCAGTGTCTTTTTTGGCAAAGCCTAGGTGAGGTGGCAAAAGATCTCTCCTTGCCCGAGGGAGGGAGAGACGGGCAGACCCTCATGGTATGGCCACCTCAGTCCCCCTCAAACATTCAGCATGGGTAGCATGCCAACCCTTCCTGCCGTCCACCTCCTCTTGGTGCTCAAAACTCTGTTGGGGAGTCGCTTGGACAGTGGGAAGTGGCTTTCCACTACCTGAGGTGGCCCTTTCACCTGGACTAATGGCAGAACTACCTCAAGGCCAAGCGGCTGCTCCAAAACTCTCCAGCCACAACCCACCAGGGAGTAAAACTGATCAGCTCACACAGGCCTAGCTCTGTGCTGGATTCTGGACTGGATGTCAAGGTCTCGGAGGACACGGTCTAATAAAAAGCCATTCCTCCATTTGGGTCAAGTGCCTGGGTTGCTATAGTGACCATGCTAGGGGGGGGCCTTATCAGCGGTGCAGCCAAATTAAGGGCTAGGCGGGTGACCGCTCTGTGGGTAACTACACACTTGACTTTTGTTGGTTCAGAGATGAGGCCGATTAGATGTTCCTCCTCCAGCCGTGCGCGTTTGATGGCTGAGCACACTCTGGGTGACTTGGGTTACTAGCCAAGAAGGAGGCACCAAATGTCCATGAAAAAGAGAAGTTGCTTCTTTCAGCTTTTTAAAAAAGCCCAGAAGGGTTTTAATCCTGAAACCCTGGGTTTCTCAGAGCACATGCAGAGTTCCTTTGCTTAAGAAAAGTGTGTGGTTTTATTCTCTTAAACAACCTACATGGAAAACATCTTGGAATATAGTAGATTTCACTGTGTAAAGAGACTCATCTACCCTAGCACACTGTGTTGAATGTTGAGCCCCAGACTATAATTTTAAGTGCACAGTCAATATATAAGTAACTTTTCCAAGCTCTCCCACTGTTGCTAAATACTAACACCAAACATAGGTCCCTAAATCTTACATGCAGAGATATGAGACCTTCTGACATCCATAAATGTGAGGAAACAGTGCTGCTCAGTTTTAGATTTGATTATACCTTCAATTTAGTTTTGAAGACCCTAGGAAAGATAGGATTGTCACCAAAGCAATGTAACCTCATTTTTCCGCCTTAGATTTTGAGGCACATGGAAATGTTTTGTCAATTAGAATCTATACAAGCGAGGGTTAACATGTCTCAGCATACTGGTTGAGGTCATAAAGATATGCTATGCTATACAGTGGTGCCTCGCTTGACGACGTTAATTCATTCCAGTGAAATCGCTGTAGAGTGAAATCGTCGTCAAACGAAAAAAAAAAAAAAAAACATTGAAAACCGTTCAATGCATTCCAATGGGGTGAATACCTGCTCGTCCAGCGAAGATCCTCCATACGGCAGACATTTTTTTGTGCCTGTAATGCGAGGAATCCATCCCTAACACAGCGGGGAGCCATTTTCTTCAGCCAGCGGCCGTTTTGAAACCCAACAATCAGCTGTTTGCTGATCGTCGCAAAGCGAAAAATCATTTCCCAAAGCAGGGAACCAATCATCGCTAAGCGAAAAAACACCATCTAAACATCGTGAAGCGATCGCAAAAACTTCAATGTTAAGCGGATGCGTCGTAGAGCGGGGGAATCGTCCAGCGGGGCACGACTGTACTTCTCCCTCGTTTCCAGGTAGGGAGAGAAATCTCAGGTTGAGCAGCACTGACAGAAGAGACAAAGTAACTTTTGTGTGTGAGATGCTTTAATTCCTGGGCATTCAGTCCCCTGTCCTTACTCCTCCTTTTTTTTTTGGTTGCTATGCCAGTGTAGAGATGTCTGTGCTATTTGGAGCAATGCAAGAAGTGGGGCATGAACATCATAACTCAGGAGCCTTCTTTTTCCACAAACGTTGGCTGCAGTGCCACAAGGTTTGGACATTTCTCCTCTCAACCTTTGCCCAACCTCTACAGCATCACAAAAGTCCATCCCTGTTCCCAGCTCTAAAACAACGTTTTAGAACCTGTAATCTCAGGGAGTGTGGGATGGTGCTGCTATGTTAACAACCCTACTGCAGGCTCGCATGAGGAACGTTTCTATTGCTGAATGCATTGTGGAGAAGGTTGATCAATATTGTTCTCTCAAGAACATCCCTGAGATGTCAGGGCCACAATCCGAGCCCACGAAACAGGTCCTTACAATGTCACAAAAGTAGGGTGGTGAAGAAGCAAGCACAGCACAGAAGCAAATACTGGGCTGGGGATAAGACGAGATGGGTGTCTAGCCTGTAAAGGCACCGTACACAAAACTCAAGTTATCTCCTCTTCCAGCGCTGCTTTGTCTCCCCACCTTGAGAAGCAGAGCAAATCCCTGAGATTTCAGTCATCACCTGAATGCCTGCCAATACTAGGTGCGTCATGCAGTAGAAAGACAGCACCAAAGTCCAAGAGCCCTTACCTTCCATGCTGAGATTTCTGGATGGCCATGAGAACTGGGTGTTCCAGTTTCCCCTCAACTCGTAGCGGAAGGCTGCGATCCGGCGGCTGATGTCCTGGTGCAACGTCGACTGGAGGAACAGGGCGACCTTCTCCTTGGGCAGCCAGCTAAAACAGCGCACCTTGGGCTGCAAAGCCGCATCGGCCTCGGAGAGGAGAAGTTCCAAGACGCCTTCCCGCTCCAGGTAAATCTGAGCTCCCCGGAAGGTGCTGGAGGACTTGATGCAAGCGGTCACTCGCCTGGGATTCTCTTTGCTGGTGGTGCCCGTGGGGAGGCGGGGAAAAAGACTCAGGCGCAAGGCACCTGCCGGGTAGAGCCACTCCAGGGATCCCTCAGCACAGTGGAAAGAGATCTGTTCCACACTGCCTGCTTCCTGAGACAGGCCACTGCGAAAGGGAACAAAAGGGAGTCTGTCATGACCCGAAGCCCGTGTGCCTTAGCCTGGACACCAGGTACAATTTTGCAGCTACGATTTGGACAGTGTGTATGACCTTGGTGATTGCACAGCAAGAAAGAAGTATGCGGCTTCATATAAGAATTTCAGATCAAGCCCCTTGGTGATTGCACAGCAAGAAAGAAGTACGTACGTGGGTTCATATAAGAATTTCAGATCAAGCACTCTCGATTTGTTTCTTACAAAACGTCTTTCTAGATCCTTAAGAAGGGAGGTTTGGAGGCTATAGTGATTGAGGGATTCTAGGGGTTTAAAGGCAATTAATCGTCTTTCAAAGCTCTGCTCCTGATGCCGGGTTAGCTTACCAACCATAATGTGGGTCCTGGGCCTCTTTATGCAGAGATGCCTATGGCCTCAGACAGCTAGGACATCTGCCCCAAGCCGCCTGCTTCTTGAGATAAAGCACTTGGTCCAAGACACCCCACCAAACCTTATGGCAGGAGAGACAAATTGGAGGTTGCTGAACTACAACTCCCATCAGCCCTCATCATCACAGTAAGGGATGATGGGAGCTGCACTCCTAACAGCACCTAGGCAACCACATGTTCCCCATCCCTGTCACCCGAGTGTTCTTGGACTGCAGTTCCCAAAAGCCTTCACTACCAGCTGTGCTGGCCGAGATTTCTGGGAGTTGAAGTTCTGAGTTACCCAAGGTTGGGAACCACTGCGAAGGGCGGACGTTGTGGAGATCTCCACCAGAGAGATCTTTATGACTGTAATCAAAAGATCAAATTTCCCAGGGAAGGAGGAATTAAAACCTGTTTACTCAGAACACATCTAACTATCGGAGCTTGGAAAAGGTGACTTTGTTTCGCTGTTTTTAACCAAAAGAAGGAACCTCATCATTCGTAACTCATTACTACCAAGCTTTGGACGACAACCTAGGTCAGACCGGCCCTTCCTGCTTCCTTCCCTAGTCTGTGAACAAGGTCTCTTGCAGGGGAAGGCAATCCAGATGGCTGAAGAGCCTTGATTGACCATTTCACAGCACCATCCCTCATCCAGCCAGTTCTGCAAAGGATCAAGATCACCAAGATACAGATGTTGCAGCTGCTTTGCTTCCCACCCTATCATCTGGAAGAGCCCAATTGATGCTGCCCTCTAGAGGCCCCACTGAGGCAATGGCATGATGATAAAGCCTCCCTTGTCTAATCTTTTTTTTTTATGAATGAAGAGTGGGCAGGAGGAAGGAAGGGACCCCTCCGTTCACTGCTGTCTCCACTGAAGTACAAAGACAGAAACCATATTCTCCCAGAATTCTGATAATCTAAATTGATCTTTTTCTCTCTCTCTTTCATAAGTGGTTTCCGGCGACTTTCAACAAGGATGCTTAGTCGGCAGATGTACCCCCATCCTTTTTCCTTCTTACATATTCTGCGAAAGACATAGGAAGATGAAAAAAGAAACAAGCTGCCAGTTTTCATGCATCTGTTTTCATTCCCAAGATCAAAGTATGAATCTATTTACTCTGCCTATGTCGCCAAGCAGAAATGATTGGTAGATAGACAATTCTGGGCTTGGCAAAGCCATTGAACCTGCCCTCTAGCTTCCATACCCCACACCCTAGGAGAAATGATTGGTAGATAGACAATTCTGGGTTTGGCAAGCCATTGAACCTGTCCTCTAGCTTCCATATCCCACACCTTAGGACAGAGGTGGAGAACCTTTGGCATTCCAGATGTTTCAGACTACAACTCCCACAGTCCTTTATCATGGGCAATATAGACAGGGGATTCTGGGAGTTGAAGTCCAAAAAAATCTAAAGTGTCAAGAGTTCCCCATCTCAGCCCTAGAGATCACTACAGCTGTCCTGAAACTCTTCAGATCAGAGCTTGCAAAAGGTGACTCATTTGAACCAGTACTATCACACTGGTTCTGGCGAGCTGCCTACCCCACAACAGCTGAACTGATGAAGCTTAAATGATTTTTGCTCTAAAAGTTTGCAAACTGAATCTATACAAATGCTAGGAATAGATGATGAAAAGGGGTGCATTCCTCAGTAAGGGAAAGTTTACTCACCCAACCCTGCAAGATTGGGGAACAAAGAGTGGGTGAATAAATCTGCTTCAAAGGCTCATTAAAAATCTAATATGGCTTGCTATTGAGAAGGTGATTCTTGCATTCTCCAGTTTGGAAGGGAAATATTACTATTCCTAATCCAAAAATTCAATTATCAAAGATGGGGAAAGTACTACAGCGTCCATAAATTCTACTTGTTACAACTTCTGGGTGTTAGCTCTGGGATTCTGGGAATTTTAATCCAAGCGCTGAGCTACCTGCCTTAGACCAAAATGTAACTTTCTCCATCTTGGCTCATTATAAGTGCCTTCCAAAGGCAAAGTTGCAATTTTATCCAAAACTTGAAGGATGGATGTTAAATTCTTGCATTTTCAGTATCGCTTGGCTCTGCGCAACCTTGTAACATGGGTCACATAGGGCTGCCTTCTATGACAACCTAAGGGGGGGGATTGTTTTTCTTTTCATTCTGCTGCTCTGTGTGAGGATGTTTACCCTCCTCACCTAGTATGCCAGATGGGGATGAAGATGTTCCCTCTCCCATCCTAAACTGACATGTGGTATGATGAGGATGAAAATCATGCTGCAGTATGGAGGAGCCTGGGACAGACCTGCAGCCTACGGTGGGAGTCCCCTCATAGATCACATTAATTTTGGGGGGCAGAAGAATCTATGATCACCATAAGAGGAGGAGAAAGATGAAGAAGCAAAACGTTCCTTGTGCCGTGGCAGATTTTCTTCTTCTGATCTAATTCTCTGAAATGGTGGTTCTCAACCTTGTGTTCTTGGACTGCAGCTCCCAGAAGCCTTGAATGCCAGCTATGCTGGCTGGGGATTATCTTGGACTGCAACTCCCAGAAGCCTTGAACGCCAGCTATGCTGGCTGGGGATTCTGGGAGTTGCAGTCCAAAAACCCCTGATTTACCCAAGGCTGGGAACCACTGCTTTAAAAGACAAAGCTGGCAAAATCTGCACTTTTCTTATGATGCACATTTCATTCCAGGCACACACTGGATTGTGGTCAGTACCTGTCTTGAAACCAACTCCATGACTACGGTTATAAGCCACCATACTTCTCCAACTAAAAGAGTCTTCCCAGCAGAGACTCCTGGTGGCCTCATTCCCAAGATTCAGAGGTTAGAGTCATTGCTTAGGAGACCAAAACAGCACCAGCCATGCACAAAGAGAAGTCATTATCAAGCTTAAAGCATGGGGGGGGGGAGAGAGAATTCAAAATCTTGGGGAAGCAGAGCCCACAAAACAGCTGCAGCTGTCTGCTCAACAACAGCAGAAGAGTACTGACAGAGTATCAGCGGGACAGGAAGGAAAACTTGGATGACTGACAAAACACCCAGAACGAGTTATACTCTAAAACTACATTTTGCGGCATATCCCACTTATGTGGTCTCTGAATGACAGATTGGTTGCTTAGTGCTGTTGCATACGAAATGGGCAGAGCTACAAACCAGATAGGCAAGCTGATTAAAAAAACTTTTGATAGGTCAAAATGAAATTCCCAAGTTAATCTGTTGGCAACACATGTATGTAATGCTTTAACATCTGTTTTTCATTATTTCCAACTTAAATAAAACACATGCAACACATGGCAAATGCTATTTTGCAAGAAGCCTTTCCCTTGCTTGAGAGAAAATCTCTCTTCTAATGTGGCAGATGTTCTCCAGTGATGCCTGCTACAACATACACATCATCATCATCATAGCCGCTCAGAGTGGTCGCATAGACCAGATGGGTGGGATACAAATCAAATCAAATCAAATAAATGTGCCAGCAAATCAATTCTGACTCAATAAATCAATAAATCAATAAATAAATATGCCAGAAATCCATTCTGACGTACAACAAACCTTTTCAGGGTTTTCCAGGCACAAAAAAACTCAAAAGTGGTATTTGATTTCTTACTTCTGGGCGCGTCCTGGGATTGTGCAGCTGGCCCAAGGCCACCCAGGCTGGCTCTTCTCCCAGGAAGCCCAGTGAGGGAATCAAACCCCCAGCTTCTGGCTCTGCAGCCAGAATCCTAAACTGCGGAGCTATCCAGCCATCTAGTATCCATTCATATTCTAAAAACCAAAAAAGAGTGGACTATTGTTTCAGAGCTATTGTTTAAGTTGTCTGTAAACTTGAGCAACCAATTAGCCATGATTATTATCAAATTAGTAACATTTTGTTTAAAAAAGGGGGGCAGGGCTGACTTGGCAAAGGAGAAAGAAACAGTAGGCTGACATTCTTCACAGTGAAGTGAATAACCATTGTGACCCGTAGATTTCTGAACTTCGGATTTCAAAAGCCACAAAGTTTAAGGGATCGTGTTCGAGTGAATGTTCTCTGCCCAGCCTACCTCACCAGGTTGTTGCAACAATAAAATAATAGAGTAGGGGGAAAGCATCATCCTGTAATCTTTGGGAAGAAGACCAGGATAATATGGTTGTAAATAAATGGGGTTTCCCATGATAATGCATGATCTAATGACCAGCATTTTTTTCTGGCTCCCTGTAAATTTCTAATGTTGGATAAGATGGTTTCAGACAATCAACATTTACTGAGCCCAGGGAATAGTTAAACTATAGGTAAACAACCCGGTCATCTTTCCAGAGATGCAGTTTTTCAACAGCAAATTTTCAAGAAGAGATTCCAGCACGTGTCTTGTGAAGCTCTCTGAAGAATAACCACCACTTGCTAAGAAAACAAAACAAACCTTCGAATCTCACTGTAATTCCCTGAAAAGCATGTTATCTACCAGATATGGAGAAGGGAACCTTATTTTCAGGACATGCCCTTCCATGCAAAAGGCCAGATTAGGTGGATTTATTATGGCTTGCACTTCCACCAGCATAATTATGAATGGAATCTGGCCCTATTCTCTTTTTCTATCTCTAGCATGGAAGCAGCTGTTTTTGCTGCTTATCTTTTTGAGAACAAAACAGGGAAAGATAAAGGAAAAAAAATTCTCTGCACAGTGAGCCGAGGTCAAAACCAGCATCCCTCCTCACTACAGATTTCCACGCCAAGGATCTGGAAAAGCCCAGATACCTACCTCCCCCTCCAGCTGCATTGGTCCTCCGAGTAATTGCTAAGGGCTGAATCCAGAAGGAGGAGGCAAAGAAGCTTCTGCAGGCAACGCATCTTAAGATCTCGTCTCTTGGCAAAGCAGGAGAGGAGGGGTGGGGGGCGCGAATCAAATGCAAGGGAGGAGACCCCGGATCACCACCATCCTTTTTAAATGTGCCAGGAGAATTAATCGCGCCGGTTGCTCTCCATCATCCATCTCTTTCCCTGCGCAAGCTGGGTTTTTTTTCTGACTCTTTTCCAACTTTCCTTCGCTTTCTCCTCCTCCAACCCTTTTCTTTTAATTCTTCCTTGCTTTTTTTTCAGGTTGCCAAAGAGCGCGTTTTCTCCCCGCTGCTGGGTGCCGTTAGCATTTTGCAATTCAGGAGAAGGTCGAGGAGGGGAAGAGAGCCGGAACCTTGCTTTGAAACTCCCGGACCGGCGGCTGCAAGCGCTCTCTCGCCTCCGCTCCGACCCGGGTGGACGGAAAGGGAGAAGAAAAGCGCGTGTGTGCGGGGACCGGGAGGGGGGGCGCGCGCGCGGTCCCGCAAAGGGGATGCTCTTGCTTTACCAATCAAAGCCCATCTGGGAAACTTTGGGCCAATCAGAAGAGAGATTTAAAAAAAAATCCTCAACGGAGGGCGTGAATCTTTGCTTTTTTCTTTCAGAACAATGCGGGTTTTTTTTAAAAGCGGGTTGGGGGAGGATTTTAAAACCTCTGAGAAATTATGCTGGTCCAGATCGCGAGGGGTCCGGGTGGTGGTGGTGGTGGAGGTGGCTTTTGCAATGGCTCTCAGAGTTTCAGGCCCTTCGTTAATTGCTATTTAAATAGCAGAGGTCTAACCTCATTGAGAAATGAGGAGCATTTTTAAAGCAGCATTTTGAAAGTTCTACAACTTCTTTGTTGTTGCTGCTGAAAAGTATTCCTTGCAATTTATTACATTCAGGATGGGTGGACAGTTAGGAACTTCTCAAACAGACTTGTCTCCCAGTGTACACACACACACACACACACAGAGAGAAAGAGAGAGAGAGAGAGAGAGAGAGAGAGAGTTTTACGCACCATTCTTGCTTTGCATATTTCGTTATTACTCACAAATCTCTAGGTCAGCCATCCTCACCTCTTTTTTTTTGCCACAGCCTAAACACAATATGAAAGAAATATAGTAGGCTGAATCAGGATTGTATTCATTATTGCTTAAGATGGTGTGCAAAGAATGGTTTCCAATCTGTGGCCCCCTTCAGTGGTGCCGGGGGGCCCTCGGGGAGTGGTGGTCATATGCCCCGCACTGAGAATGGCTGCTCTAGGTGAGAATGATGATAATTGCACGTGTTCGGTTTTCCCTTCCATACAGCCCATCCGTCAATTCCTCCTTCGTAAAGAAGGTTGGATTAACTTCCATTTCAAAACTGACGTATAGAACAGAAGGATCATCATTGGGTCATCATCATTGTCATCATCATCATCTTAGAACGGTAGGGCTGAATCATAGGTTCCAGCGCTTTGTTAAGGAGGCACCTTGGGCATAGGTTCCAGCGCTTTGTTAAGGAGGCAGCTTGGGCGGGAATCAAACTCCCAGTCTCTGGATCCACAGCCAGATGCCTAAACTACTGAGCTATCCAGCAGCTCCGCCACTCTATTATAATCTTAGAATTGCAGAGGGGACCCTGTGTCATTCAAGAGAAACTTTGAGAACAATGTGATTTGTTGTCTCCTTTCTCAAGAAAGGAGTCCTTTCTCAAGATCATTCATCCCATACATTGACATTCCATATAAACGAACTGTCCAAGTACAGATCTGTAACACGAGCAGCCCGGGGCATTTTGATGCCTGAATCAAAACACCAAGAAGGAGACCCTAACTCAGTTCTTACTTTTGAGAGATGGGTTCGGACAGTGGCTTCATAAAAGTCCAAGGACTGCTGCTCTGATCCCTGGATCAGAGAGGTCTTTCTACTTTCTGGCCTTCCTGATGTCTACAGCCTTTGCTATGGAACCGAAAGTGTTTGTGTTGCTTTGATTCTAAGCAGGAAAAAATAATAACAACAACCCAGCAACCTTGATTAGGAGCTTATGATGTGACGAGAGTGTTCTTTGAACTGGAGTCTTGAGTTGGATTAGACAGGAAGGAATTCTTATCCAGACTTTTGAAAGGCCTGCAATGAGGTAACTGGGTGTAAAAAGGAAACAACCCACAAGACTGTCTTGTCCCTCTCAGCCGCTGCTCTTATTGTTATGCCATGGGTCAGCAATGCCATACCAACAGACCACAGACCTTCCTTATTTATTTCACTGGGGGGCCCCCTCCTCCTGTCTCAGACACCATTGTCCTGGGGGTTTAACAAACCCTGCAATTAATTACGTTTCCACTGCTGGAGTGACGGCCCGCCAAAATGTTTGAAATAAACATGGCACAAAGGCAGTGCAGTGATACTGGCTGGAGAACAAAAAGCAGGGAGGGGGGTTGGTTGGTTGGTTGGTGGTGGCATGAAAAAGGAGAGGCTGTAAATTTTCATAGGGAAAAGAGGTGGGAAGGGGGGGCTTGCTGGCTTGCTGGAGGGGAGGGGGGGATAGGTGGTTTCAAGCCATGAAAGGAAACTCGGAAAGAAGTCAATCTATGGGAATACACCGAAAATGAATCCAGTCCAGAAAAACAAAACTAATGTGGCCATATTGTTTTGCAGACACTCATTCTTCAGGAAGAAAGACCTTCCTCTTATATTTCTATCTATGACTTGACCTGTGAGCACCCCCCTAGATCAGCCATCATCCTCTGTAAATGACAACTTTTCAGAAGGAATAATTTCAGTTTTCAACCTTATGGAAGGGCAGAGACTGAGAGGTGACGCAGAGCCTCCTCATCCACTCTGAGATATTATGCATTGCCATCTTTCTTTCAAAGAACCCAAACCGGTGTACAGTGGGGTCTCTACTTAAGAACGTCCCTACTTAAGAACAAACCAACTTAAGAACAGCTCCATTTGCTAAATTTGGCTTCTACTTGAGAACAGAAATCCAAGATAAGAACAGGAAAAAAAACCTTTCCTGCTCTTTTTTTAACCTTAGGTCCAGTCCAGAAAAACAAAACGAATGTGGCCACATTGGTTTGCAGACACTCACTCTTCAGGAAGAAAGACCTTCCTCTTATATTTCTATCTATGACTTGACCTGTGAGCACCCCCCTAGATCAGCCATCATCCTCTGTAAATGACAACTTTTCAGAAGGAATAATTTCAGTTTTCAACCTTATGGAAGGGCAGAGACTGAGAGGTGACGCAGAGCCTCCTCATCCACTCTGAGATATTATGCATTGCCATCTTTCAAAGAACCCAAACTGTTGTACCTCTTAACCTAACTCTCCCTTTGATGCTGCCAACAACCCTGAAAGGTACAGCGGTTTAAGAAAACAAAATGGATTAAGTTCTTAAGTAGAGGTTTCACTGTACCTCTTAACCTAACTCTCCCTTTCATGCTGCCAACAACCCTAAAAGGTACAGCAGTTTAAGAAACTATGAAAAGCACAAGCTCATTCAGTGCTGGCTGCGATTTGGAACTCAGGTCTTCTGAATCCTAGACCACCCCAACCATGGCATGCCAATGTCCGCTGGAGCACAGCATGCCCAACAGGTGAACAGAAGGTAGATCTTTGGTATCTTTCCACAAATCAGGAAGATGGAATTTAAAGAAGGCTGCTGGAAGAGGCTTCTTATCTACCTAGACTCCCTGGGAAATCAATGTGGCCTGCATGAATGGAAAAAGTGGGTGGATGCACCAGAAGAAAGATGGGTCTTTACGCTAAGTACATTCGTTTTTTTAAATTATTTGTTTATTAAGATGCAGTCCTTAGAAATTAAAAAAACCTTCTTAAGGGATAGTGGTGGTTTACACATGTCAAATAAAAGAGAGAGATTTTACTCTAAAGCAGAGTTGGCCACAGTGTGCCTGTTGCGAAAATCACTAGACCATGCCAGCACAGCCCATAATAAGGAACGTTGGACAGGACACTTCCAATATCTGGAAGGCTTTATTTTGCCCGTCACTGTTCTCAAAGCTTGTTCTGGTTACCCTTCTCTGTAAGGGTATAGAACTCCTTTTGAAACTAGCAGCTATTACTGCATCTGGTGGCAGCACCAAAGTCCCTAAGTCTATTATCCCCTGTGTGATGATGTGTGATGATGTCTTCGTTTTTCAGTGTATCAGAGAGGATTTGTTCTGTATGTGCATGCACATATATATACATACATGGTGATGATCATGCGTGTACGTCTGGGCCATGAGAAATTCTGCACTGAACGATGAAACTTACTGTTCCATCGTTCAGCGCAATGAGTCACTGCCTCTGAGTCTGAACTATCTCACAAGGTAGGAGGAGGAGAGCCGTTTTGCCTTGAGGGCCGTGGAGGTAAGACAAGATACACTTGTTGTACATGGACAGAGCCCTGCTTTCGAACCGCTAGGTTGGCGGGAGCTGGGACAAGCAACAGGTGCTCACTCCGTTGCGTGGATTCGATCTTACGACTGCTTGGTCTTCTGACCCTGCAGCACAGGCTTCTGTGGTTTAGCCCACAGCGCCACCACATCCCTGTTCTGTATGTGCATGCACATATATACACACATGGTGATGATCATGCGTGTAAGTGTACGTCTGGGCCATGAGAAATTCTGCACTGAACGATGAAACTTACTGTTCCATCGTTCAGCGCAATGAGCCACTGCCTCTGAGTCTGAACTATCTCGCAAGGTAGGAGGAGGAGAGCCGTTTTGCCTTGAGGGCCGTGGAGGTAAGACAAGATACACTTGTTGTACATGGACAGAGCCCTTTAAAAGCAAGAAACACCCCTTCAGAGAAACTGTTCTAGATCCCTAAAGGATGCAGCTTATTATAGTCAGAAATATGAAAAGGTTATAACAGGACCCTGTGCAGCTCTATGGCTCTCCCAATGGGGGGAAATGCCTAGCATGCTCCTAGGAGCCTGGGCTTTAGCAGACTTTTTTGGGGTGAGCGGGCTGGGGTCTGTCTGTTTCCTTCAGTTTCTCTGATAGGAATTGAAATAGGCTATACTCAAAAAGGCAGTCACTGAATAGAGATGATGAAATATTCCAAAGTATGACTAACTGAAGGTAAACAGTGTTAGGTGTTATCTACAGGCTGAGCACTGTACAGTGTTCTAGTTTTGTTTTCAGTCTTGCTGGAAGAGATGAATTTATCTTTCAATAATTGGCAGATCAGGTAGGTTGGGATTTAAAGGATCCAGCTGCACACAAGGTAAACCATGGAAGGACTGCCTATATACCCCATTCAATGTGCTTATATTTCATTACGATCTCTGGAGGCTCTGCTTGTTAGTTCAGCATTATAATGAATAAGGCTGGCATGTGTCAAACATACGTAGGGCCTTCCCAGTGGCGGCCCCGAACTTCATGAAATGCCCCTTT